TTTCCTTGAGCAGCAAGACTATCCTTCCCCTTCTTGTATTGGGTGACCTTGTGCAAGGTGTGCTTCCTGCACTCCTTGCTCTTACAATATGTCTTCTTTGTCTTAGGAACGTTCACCTGTAAAATTAAGGAGCTTAGCTGAAGGAACGAACAAACTCAAATGAATACCAGCAAAACTCACCTTAAACAAACTCCACCAACTAAAAATACAACCAGATCAAATCTGAAGGAAAAAAGAGAATGGCCTATCAAGAGCCTTCACCTATTTTCTTCATAATTTTTAATGAAAACGAATCCTTGTTAAAGCTCATGAAGCTTCTGTACATGAGAATGTTCTGTCTATAATGCAGAATACAATCTTTATCCGAAACAAGCAACAATAACACACAATAAGCCAATGAATTAGTAATCTAAGACAGGATTCTCTGTGTTGTACATAGTTTCCACAGTTTCTAAGCAACTAAACAGACTAATTAAACAATTACAACACAAATCATTTTGAATTATACTTTGTTGAGATATCTCAACCTCCGTTTCCCAAGTATATCCGCTCGAGACGTTAAAGCCGAACAAATCAAGCTAACACAAGGAATCTAGCCATTTTCTCAGAACCAAACATGTTTTTATATCAGCAAACAAAATGAAGATAAACAGATGCAACTAAGCTAGTAATAGCAAATGCGATGCCGGAAGGAGTAAAGGATTCGTAGTGAAAAAGAGTGAGAAATACGATACCATGGTCGCCGGCGAAGAGGAGACAGCTAACGGAACTCGTGTCGGCGAAATCTGAGGTCTGCGCGGCGGGGTTTAGGGTTTCTTGGATTATATTAAGCTCTGGGATGGAAAGCTTCCGGAACCAGGTTTCTTTAATCGGGTATGGAAAGCCCATGTTTGAAGTCTAATAGGCCCATCTAACTTGCCAACCCTGCCCCCATTGCAAATGGGCCTATTCTTTTGGTCCGGCCTCTATATTGTTGTGAACCCCACGCACCCAGCACGTGCTTCGCCCTCTGAAAAAAATTTTTTTGACAAATTTTGAATAAAATGTTATACAGTCTAAGGTTTAGTTTGATAATATTATCTGATACTATTCTGTAACTATAGTTATTAAAAGTATTGTGTTATACTACCATAAAAAATATTTTAATATTTGATAATTATATTTCAAAAATAATATCTATTATAAAATTACTCAATTAGATATATCATTATATAAAATTAAATTAATTAATAATTTAATATATAATGTATGAAAAAAGACTTAAAAATTTTATTAAATTATTTAAGAATTCTATTAATTTCAAGTAAGATATTTTTGCATTTCTTTCCAAAAAAGAATGAAAGAATAATTTACTAAACATGTAAGTTATAAAAAGTTTTATAAATATATAGGAAAAATACTATAAGCAACGTTATCAAACTAAGTTTAAATTATATTAAATTCTACAACACCACCCTTATCCTGTGCCTTATATTGAACTATTGGTCCATAGACAATTTAAGAACGCAATTCACAAAATCTTTGCCCATCGCAGCATACATTATTTATAAGAAGTGTGACAATGCTTTTTATTACAAATTAGGATGTCAGACGACTACTGCTCCATCTTTTAGTTGGCCGAAAACCGAAAAACACTGCTACTGCTCTGTTTTAGGTAACATTTAAACTTTGTTGAATAAATCTTGAGACAATCCAACCATTTTGAGAAGAAGACTTGTAAATTCGATCTTTTTAAGTGCAAACCTTGAGACTGGCAAAGCAAGCAAAACTTTTACATTTGAAGTTGAAAAAACGAAGTTCACAGTTCAAAAATCTCTGGAATTCCTGATATCGCAAGGAGAAACTTTTAGCATAAACATAACAGGGGTCATAAAAAAAAAAAAAAAAAACCATTAAAGGGAAATAGTTCAGCCAATGTATTCTGAACCTTGTAGCGGTCCTGTTTACCAACAAGAGAATCTAGTTTCAGAAAGAAATTGAGATCGATGACAGTCACCAGATAAGAAAGACAGGTCAAACAATTAAAATCAAGCCAGATTGTAAAAACATAAGGAAATAAATAAAGAATCAAGCCAGAAGCATAGCGATATCAATAAGCTTTAAATCTAACAACTGATATCTGATGACAAAACCTTTCAGGATCAACATTAATGTCAACAAACAACATAAATTAAACTAGCAACAAAATTCGGGCAAGTAACTACTGCTTAAGTTCCAACTAGGGCAGAAAACTAAATCAATACGACAAAATGATGCAACTAGAACAGAGATGTTCCCTTCCCCTTCTTGTCACCACCAATCTCAAAATGTTTGCATCTCTGCAGAAACCAGAACCAAAAAATACATATCAGAATACATAGGCAAAGCAAATGAGGATCACTCAACAAGCAAAAAGTTTTTTGATTAAATAACCTTGATTGGGTGTTGGGACACATGCTTGCATCCCTGGCATTGCAGCCTCAGCACGATCTTCTTAGTGGTCTTTGCCTGCCAAGCAAAAAGACAATTGTTTCAAAAGTACATTAGTAAATGAACAAATCAATGTGGAAAATTTGAATGACTACAGCATTTGATGACATGTTCTTTCCATATTAATGACCATATACATTCAAGTTAATAGATTAACTTTACCTTCTTGTGGAAAACAGGCTTTGTCTGCCCACCATATCCTGATTGTTTGCGATCATAACGTCTCTTTCCTTGAGCAGCAAGACTATCCTTCCCCTTCTTGTACTGGGTGACCTTGTGCAAGGTGTGCTTTCTGCACTCCTTGCTCTTACAGTAGGTCTTCTTTGTCTTAGGAACGTTCACCTGTAATTCACAGGGCACATATCCAACTCAATTGGAGCAACAAAATGACAGTAAAATGTAGAACAACAGGCTCAATTGCTTTTCCCCCTAATTTAAGTTGCAAATGGAAGCAATTATAGTTCATATTAACAGAAATGATGATTAGCATAAACATAAAAGAACACTCTGCTATACCATATGAGAAAAATGTTGATTTTTTTTTTTTTTTTAAAAAAACAACCCACAATCATTGTTGAAGAGAGCAAGAATAAGGTATAATACGCCAATAAATCAATAACAAGGTCAGGATTTTCCAGATTTACTCAGTTTCTACAGTTTCTGAACAACTAACAAACCACTTTCCCATATACATCATCGAGAGTTAAGAACCAAACAAATCAGCTAACATCAAGAATCCTGCCTTTTTCTCGGCAACCAAACATCTTTTAAATCGGCAAACAAAAATGAAAATAAACAGAAGCAACTAAGACTAACAGATTCGTAATGAAGCAGAGTGAGAGAGACGATACCATGGTCGTCGACAAAGAGGCGAGGGCAAACGGAGCTCAGGCAAGGGGGAGACAGCAATCTGCAGTGGGAAGGTTAGGGTTTCTGGGATTATATCGGACTGCGATTCCGGGATCCAAGTTTTCTTCAATAAGGGTATGGGAAGGGGGAAGCCCAAGTTTTAAGTCTAATAGGCCCATCTATCCAGAATGGGCCTATTCTTTTGGTCCGGCCTCTTCTACCCCACGCACCCTGCACGTGTTACGGCCCTGAAAAAGAAATATATTTTGAAAAATTTTGAACAACGGCGCCACAAACAATTATACAAAGCTTTTTCGTAAAATTACGCCGTCGGATCTATACCTTATCAACGGCTATTATTAAAAATAAAACCGAAACACGGATCGTTCTTTCTTGCCGTTGGATCTGGTAGCTGATCCAACGGTTGTCAGTCAAAATCCCATTTCTATAAATATCTCTAACATATTCATCACCGCTCCAAAATAAAATTTCTTGCTGAGATCGGAGGTGTGTTTTTCTTCGAGAGTCAGGGTTTAGTCCGTGAAAATGTCTGGCCGAGGAAAGGGAGGGAAAGGCTTGGGCAAGGGAGGAGCGAAGAGGCATCGGAAGGTGCTGAGGGATAACATCCAAGGAATCACGAAGCCGGCGATTCGGAGATTAGCTCGAAGAGGTGGAGTGAAGAGAATTAGCGGTCTGATTTACGAAGAGACGAGGGGAGTTCTGAAGATTTTCCTTGAGAATGTGATCCGCGACGCTGTTACCTACACGGAGCATGCCAGAAGGAAGACGGTTACCGCCATGGATGTGGTGTATGCTTTGAAGCGACAGGGCAGGACTCTCTATGGATTTGGTGGTTAGGATTTGAGATTCATTCCTTTATATTTTACTGTTATAAGAATGATTTTGTAACCTTTTTATATCAAACGAAGATATCTACTTCCAATTTCTTGAAGAATCTTGTGTTTGGTAGTTTATAATCTCTTAGATTAATAATTGTTTGTGACATAATCCGTTTCTGCTATCTATGATCCAGTGATTGAAATTTTTAGTTTCTGTATAATATTGGTTAAAGCTTTGTATCTGAGAAAATTGCTCGATATTTGGTTTTTTTGTACCATGGAGTATGAGCTGAAAATGTTTTTTTAGTTCAATGCAAGGAAACTTTATTCTGTGTAATCCACAGGTACTTTGATGTTTGGAAATTTATTACTTTTTGTTGGTTTGAGTAGTTTTGAGTAGAACTTCTACTTGCAATGCAAAATTACTGACCTGCAACATTGGAAATACAGTTTTTATTTTAATTGTCTTCCATCAATTGCTTTTAGTCTTCCTCTGGGAATATGAATATCTTAGTTGGGTCATTGGTATTGCAAACAATGGCTATCGTTGATGCCACTGGGTGAATTTCAAGTGTGTTTGAAACAAATGACTCAGATTTGAAGCACGCCCTCCATGTCAACAAGAGGCAAATCAAATCAAAATATCAAGAGTCTTAACACCTGTGCATAGATATACTAATTTATTTCTAAAGCCTTAAATTTTCGGTTGTGCTAATTAAGGTCAGCTATTTTGCTCCTGCACATTTGTTTAACTAACCAAAGTTAGTGCATGGTGGCAAAGATCAAATCCTTGTATAAACTCTTCATATATGCCTTGCAGTGAAGTTGTAATTAACTTCAGTGTAGTTAGGTTATATTTGGTATAACTGGGTGTAAGTTACTTTGGAATTTAAAGGTTTGAGTTATACTAAATATTATAATTGATAAAAAAAAAAATACTATAATTTTTTATAAATTAATATTTTATTTATTTCATTGTAACTCTTAGAAGTATTTTAAATTAATATTTCTGTAAAAAAGTTTTATTTAAGTTTTAATAAAATTAATATATATTTTTTTATTTTTTTATTTATAAAAATAATATTTTTACAATAATTTTTTCTTAATAAAATTTTTATTAAAAACTTTAATCACAACAAAGGTACATTTTTAGACCCTTGATTTTGGAACTTAATGATTTCGTTGTGTCGGATTTGAGTTTTGATCAAGATTGAGAAATTTTTAACCTTGAGCCTTGATTCACTGGGCACTTATCAAGCTTTAGGTAAAATTTTCATTTTTAGCTTCAACAGGCTAAAGCTAGTTGACGTTTCTCCAACCATATTTTGGAGCTCCAGCTTCAAAGCATAGACAACGTACGCAATTACTACTTTCAACATGTGTATTAGTTTATTTTAAATTGTTAAATAATATACATTAATTGTATTACGTTTTATAAGTCAGTCATTAATAATCAAAGTTTAAAGCATGGTAATGCCATCTTAGTTTTTATTTCCCTTACTTCTAAATTATTCATGTTTTAAAAAATAATAAATATCAATTATTTGATATGTTATTAATTAATAAATATAATTATTAAATATTTTTAATAATTAACTAAATATATTTATATTACTTTTATAGAATACTAACTATTCTTTTTGTGGACACCACCTGCACATTTTGTACCATGAGGTTTTGATTGTCTGGTCATTGGCATCCCAAAACCAGTCTAAAGACGAGACTCCCAAAGGCCGCCCCTGTGACGTTTAACACTTGTGTCAGAACAATCGTACCTTTGCAGAACGTGAAAAGTCAATAAAATTATGACACAATTTCGTACGGATAAAATATGCATTTAATGGTTCATTTTAATAAATTTAAATTTTATAATCTTTTATTTTAT